CAGAACCACTGCCCATCCAGCCCACCGTCATGCAGCGGGCGAACCTTGAGAAATGGATCATGCAACCTCTCAACCAGTGAGCAGCACACACATGGTGAAAGAGGGGGAAATGACATCAACCACCATCACAGCCAATGTGTGTGTGTGTGTGTGTGCATGGGGTTGTGTTTCTGCCCATCCTCCTCCTGCTTTCTCCTCCTTCTGTCTGTGCCACGCTGCTCACTGCTGCTGGTATTGTTGCTTGTTTGTTTGTGGTGGTGCGTGCAGATGAATGTATTCCATCATCATCATCAGCAGCAGCAGCAGCAGGTGCTGGCTGATGCATGAGGCAGTGGGCGACCCCCACCAACCAACCCACAGTGACTACATGCTGACGGATGAATGGTGATCCAACCACTGCCAGGCAGGTGTGTGTGTGTGTCGACGTGTGGGTGCTCTTCTCCACCCATCCACACGCCATCATCACCACCACCTCATGTTCTTGTGTGTTTGCTCACATCCCTCCTTTCCCTCACCTTCAACACCACTATCATCACCACCCTCCACACTTGCTCGTTTCCCCTTCCTACCTTCTGCTGTCGCCGCACAGAGGGCCCTTGAGCCAGCAGCTGTCACCCCCACCCCCTCCACCAACCACCACTGCTCTGGTGGGATGAACAGATGGGCGCTGCCATGTGATGACCATCCAGCCACCCTTGTGCGGCTGCGGAAGCAGCAACACCAACTCACACCACAAACAAGCAAGTGATGAACAACGTGAGTGCAGCACTGTACGTATGTGTGTGTTGATGTGATGCGCACAGCACCAGTGTGCGTGTTTTGTGCTCGCTGTCTTTGTTGCTCCTGTCTCTCCCCCTTGTTGTCCCACATCAATGTGCATGCATGTGTGTCGTGCGGCTGCCTGTTTTGCCTTGCTTGATGCGCTGTCTCATTCTTCGTTCTCACACACACAACTGCCTGTACACCTGCACATTCCCCACCTTGCAGCCGCTGTTCGTCTTCCCTCTCTTTCTCGCCCTCCTGTCTCCCCTTGTTGTCCCACATCAATGTGCATGCATGTGTGTGGTGTGGCTGCCTGTATTATTGCCTTGCTTGATGCGCCGTCTCATTCGTCGTTCTCACACACAACTGCCTGCACACCTGCGCATTCTCCACCTTGCAGCCGCTGCTTATATTCCCCTCTCTTCCTCGCCCTCCTGTCTCCCCTTGTTGTCCCACATCAATGTGCATGCATGTGTGTGGTGTGGCTGCCTGTATTATTGCCTTGCTTGATGCGCTGTCTCATTCGTCGTTCTCACACACAACTGCTTGCACACCTGCACATTCTCCACCTTGCAGCCGCTGTTCGTCTTTCCCTCTCTTTCTCGCTCTCCCTGACGGCCGTCACAACAACAACAACAGCAGCAGCCAACACACCCTCTACCGCCGATGCTGCAGAGATGTGCAGGAGGAGGTGGACGCGACCACCAGCATCACTTGCTGCTGAACACATCCCCCAGCCAACCAACCCATCGCCCACTGCTGCTGGCAGAAGCTGGCTGTTTGCAGCTGGGAACAGGTGGCGACAGCACAAGTTGCATTTTCGGTTGGAAGCAGCAGCAGCAGAGGTGAGGATGAGAAGAAGAGGGGAAACGGAGAGGAGATGTGTGTTGGGTGGATGGATGGATGGGGTGGTTGGGGGATGCTGGGTGAGTACGGTGTGGTGGGGTGTGGCTGACTGGCTGGTGACAGAGGACGGTGGTGTGTGGTGTGAGGAAGAGGGATGGATGGATGGAATGGGTTGCAGCATGTCTTGTTCCTTCCCTTCTGTTTTCTGTTTTCTCTCTCTTCCCTTTCTTCTTCACACACAAATGCATGCGCAGCATCTGCAGTGGCAGCAGCAGTGTAGCTGCGCACATATCAATTCTCCCTCTTCCCTCCCACTCGCTCACCATGCTGGTGCTCGCACACAAACACACTTACAGGCCATGCACACTTACAGGCAGCAAGATGAGGGAAATGTCGAGGATACTTGTCACGCATGCCAGCTGCACTCGCCTCACACATGGTATGTGGGTGGTGATGTGTGGTTGGTTGTGTGTGTGTGATGGAGTGTGGTGATGGAGTGTGGTGAAGCGAACGAGGGGAAGAGGGTTGATGGGGGATGATGGTCACATACACTGACACACACACGCACGCCCGTGTTGCGTGTGATGTCACTCACTTCTTCTGCTGTGCTGACGTGATGGCTTGCTCTGTGTCTGTTGTGTTCTGTTCCCATCCACGCTGCCCGCAACCACGCACATACACACACACACATATGCACAGGTGGTGAGGTACCAGCACACATCAGGATGTTGGTGGAAGCGGGCTCGCATGCCGGATGCTGCTGCTGCAACTTTCCCGATTCAGCTGTCGCTGTTGTACTCATGCAGTGTTCCCACATGTCAGCAAGGCAAGGTGAGCCCATCATGCATGCTTTGGTTGGCGTATGGCGCATGTGTTGTTGTTGCTGCTCTGGGTGTGCTTGGTGTTGCTGTGGGTGCTCGTGCAGCAGCGTAGCTTTGCAGCTCACATACCATGTGTGTATGTGTGTGTGGCTGCAGGGAGCGACTGCCTGAGGATCGTTGGAGGATGATGGGCGGTGCACACATGATGGATTGGGAGGAGCAGCTGTGGACACACACGTCCATGGTCATGGTGGGTACATCCAACCACAGCGACGCAGTCATGCGCAGGTGTGTGTGTGTGTGTGTGGTGGGGCGAGGAGGAGGAAAGCAAAGGAGGGTCAGGAAGGTGAACACGTCTGCTGTGCTCATATGCCATACCTGTGCCTTGTGTGTGATGATATCGTTGTGTCTTGTCGTTGTGTGATGGTTGCATGCGCACCAGGGCCACATCAGAGGAGGGGAAAGCAGCCGCCATGAACGACCCATCATCATCAACCTTCCCCATTTCTCTCTCCTTTCTCTCTCTTCCACCGCAGCTCCGCCATCTCCGCCATTGCCATCGACCGCACAGCCGCCATCACACTCCGGCCGACACCAGCTCCAATCTGGCGTGAGGCAGACATTGCACATGTCAGTCGCTCTCATGAAGAGGTGAGCAATGTGCGTGTGTGTGCGTGTGCGTGGTGGTGGTGGTGAGTGGGGACAACATGTGTGCGTGTGGCTGTGTCAGTGTGGGTGGTTGGATGGGGCTGGCGTGTGGTTGATGACGCTTCGCTGTCAACCTCACCCCCTGCATTCTCCTCTTCGTGCGGCTGTGCACACACATTTCACAGCGTTGAGGAGGCGCGTGTCTGTGTGTGTGTGTGTGTGTGTGTGTGTGTTTGTGTGTGTTTGTGTGTGCACCAACTGCACCACGGCGTCTTCCTGGCCCACCGTGCTCAAGATGGTGTGCGGCACACTGCTGTTTGCTCAAGGCGCCCCCTCGACACGTGCCTGTGCAAGGCTTAGCGCATCAGCTCAGGCACGCAGCTGGTGTTCAGCAAAGAGGGCGGGCGGGGTCTGCCTCGACTACTCCCGGACCCAAGCATGCAGGCCAAGACATTGCCGTGCCGGACCCCCGGCAGCCTTCATCCAGACCGCACGAAACGCGGCAGCCCAGAGCAGACACCATTGTGCTCGAAAACGCCACCACAACCACAAACGTGCACGACCTCACCACATTCACGTGCAGGCACATCAACGCGACCCTCTTGTAGGCCTCCGTGGCCTGTTGCTGTTGTTCTTCTCCTTGTTGGTGACCTGCTTCTTTTCCTCCCGCTTGTGCGCGTTCGCCCCGTGTCGGTGCGCGGGGTCCGGCCTTGCTCCTCCGGGGCACGGCTCCACCAGCACCACCCCTGCCCTTCTCCTCCTCCTCCTGCTCCACCAGCACCTTCTTCTTCTCCACCTCCTTCTCCTCCTCCTCCTCCTCCTTCTTTGTCTTCTCCCCATTGTCATTCCTTTCACCTCTGCCCTACTCTTCTCGTCTATTGCATCTGCCTGTTGCTTGTCCCTGGGGCGCCCTTTCCTTCTGCTTCTTCCTCCTTGGCCTGTTCCTCCTCCCCTCTTGGTTCTCCCTGCCGCGCCCTCAGCAGAGCCATGTGCGCCAGGTCAATAAACGGGAACGTCCTGAGAAACGCCTCCATGTGCACGGCTGTACTGGCCATCCCGCACACCCACCACAGAGCTGGTTGCTTGGCGACCCATCGACTTTGTATGCGCACGCCGCCGATGCCCGAGTGCCAACGTGCGGCGGGTATGCCACGGCTCGGGCTATGCCAGCAGTCTACTGTTTTGTTTGTTGTTTGTTTGTTTGTCGTAAGTAAGTTGGTGTTTGGTGGCCATTTTCCTCGAACCACCCCAACCGCAACAAGCAAGCAATAAGCAAGAAGCAAGCAAAGAAGCAAGTAGCAGCCAAAACAAGCCAGGACTGGTTGACCAAATACCACGCACATCCATCGGCTTTTGTTGTCCTTGGATGGTCAGGACAGCGCTGCCTCTCCCTCTCCCCTTCAAGTCCTCAGCTCTCCTCTCAGTCCTTCAGTCCACACCACCCTTGTGTGTGACCACGGTGTGCATGAGCGTACTCGCCGCCTCAGGCTGACGGTTTCTTTGCTTCTTCTGCCAACTGCCTTGAGTTGCTGTGCATGTGTGTGTGAGCGGTTGGTTCAAAACGCACAAGACACCTTCTTGGGCCCGGAAGCGTGTTCGTTGTTGCTACCGCCAGCTTCTCGCACTCACTCTCAGCAGCTCTTTTGTGGTTTGCGAAGAGCTGAGCGACCAGCCTTGCGTGCTCCACCAGCATCCCCCCCCCCCCCAAACAAAAAAAAAAAAAAAAGCTGGTGGGCACTCTCTCCTCTCTGTCTGTGTGTTTCGTCTTTGTTGTTCCCACCCACCAACCAAACAAAAAAAAAAAAAAGGCGAAAGCCACACCCCCTCCTCCAGTTTTGCTTTTCCTTCTCTCTTCCTCTCTTGTGTGCACTGCAACCACAACAACCAACCAACCGGTCCTTGCCACTCTTCTCTTTCTCCCCTTCCCCTCCAACCAAAGTAAACCAAAGTAAACCAACACAACCCCACTCCCCTCTTCCTCTCCCTGTTTGTCTCTCCCACGTCGACCATCTCCTCGATCGTCTCCTCTTCCTGGCACCTCGCCCCGCGCCACCAAGCCCTCAAGCCCGCCGTCCGCACCACACGGATTGCCCACTGAGCGATTGACCTCCAACCCCCCACACTCCATACACACACACACACACACACACACACACACACACACACACACACACACACACACACACACACATGGCTGACCAGCGACTGACGCACGGCGTGTCCGTGGCAGCTGTGCGGCGGTTTCTGGGTGATCTGAAGCGCGAGTTCCCCGACACGTACACTGAGATGACCACGGAGGATGCCTGCAAGCAACTGGTTGTGCCACGCACACGCCAGGACAACTGCGCCTACGTCGAGCAGCTGCGCAAGCAGTCGCCAGAACACGTGAACAAGGCCACCGTGTTTGTGTCGCACGCATGGCGGTACAAGATCGCAGACGTGTTGAACGTGTTGCTCGAGTTTGCGGAAGAGCAAGTACGGAAGGACGACGACCAGCCCGTGTTCTTCTGGTTTGACCTCTTCATGAACAACCAAAACGCCAACGTCACGGCCAACCTTCCACAAGAATGGTGCGTTTTGTGTGTGTGTGTGTGTGTGTGTGTGTGTGTGTGTGTGTGTGCAGCTGTGTGTGTGTGTGTGTGTGTGTGTGTGTGTGTGTGAAACTCTTGTGCTCTTCAACAACTACTGCCACACGCACACAGACACACGCACGTTGTTCCCTCACGAAACTGCAACCCCTTCCCCTCCCCCCCCTGTCTTCGTCATCCCTCCGCCCTTTCCTCTCCCCCTTTCCCTTTCTCAACACCCAGGTGGAGCACGACGTTCAAGCAGTCGATTGCCAACATTGGCCATGTGCTGCTGGTGCTCATGCCGTGGCGAGACCCTGTTCCCTTGACACGCGCGTGGTGTTTGTGGGAGATCTTCTGTGGCATCAGCAACGAAGGCACAGAGGTCACCATCCAACTACCCAACAGCGAAGAACAGGCGCTCGAAGACGCCATTCGCGGCAGCTACACAGCCGTCACAGACACGCTGGTGCGCGTGCAAGCAGAGAGAGCTGACGCCTTCAACCCCCACGACAAACACATGATCTTCACAGCGATCCAGTCGTGGGCGGGCGGCTTTGGCGCAGTCAACCAAGCCGTGAAAGACCAGCTGCGCGCGTGGTGCCTGCAAAAGGCGGTGGGTGCCGTCGAAGCAATGCGGGCACGAGGCGAGGACAGCACTGACGCCTTCGCGGGGCTGTGTGGCCAGGTTGGGACGGTGCTCAGCCAGTTTGGCGAGCACGATCGTGCCGTTGCCTACTACGAGACAGCGCTGGCAATTCGGCTGCGCACTGAAGGGGAGAAAGGAAGAAACGCGGCAGCACCGTACGGCAACCTCGGCAACGCCTACTGCAGCAAGGGCGAGCATGACAAGGCCATTGCTTACCATGAGAAGGCCCTCGCCATCAGGGTGGAGACGCTGGGCGAGAAGCACCCGAGCACAGCCGACACCTACGACAACCTCGGCACTGTCTACGCCAGCAAGGGCGAGTACAACAAGGCGATTGCGTACCATGAGAAGGCGCTCGCCATCAGGGTGGAGACGCTGGGCGAGAAACACCCGAGCACAGCCACGTCGTACAACAACCTCGGCAACGCCTACGATGACAAGGGGGAGTACGATAAGGCGGTTGCGTACTACGAGAAGGCGCTCACCATCAAGGTGGAAACGCTGGGCGAGAAACACCCGAGTACAGCGAGCACCTACAACAACCTCGGCAACACCTACAACAACAAGGGCGAGCACGACAGGGCGGTTGAGTGCTATGAGAAGGCGCTCGCCATCAAGGTGAATACGTTGGGCGAGAAGCACCCGAGCACGGCCACGTCGTGCTTCAACATTGGCCTGCTGCACGACAAGCGCGGTGACAAGGAGCAGGCCTGCGCCTACATGCAGCGGGCGCTCGACGGTTACACAAGCACGGTCGGCCCAGACCACCCAGACGCGCGCGACGCGGAGTGCGAACTGCGGCGCATTCGCGGCAACGACGAGCCGGATGACGGCGGTGCACGCACTGCCGCCTCCCTGGGCGAGGAAGAGAACGAGCAGAAGCAGCAAGAAGGGGACGGCGATGACCAAGTTCAAGCTGTGGCTGGCCAGCAAGATGCAGCAGACGAGTCTGAGCCGCAGGAGCGTTCTCCACAACAGCCTCTGGCCGGCTGGTTGCGGAAGCGTGGGCGACGGAGGGCCGCCTTTCGCCCGTGCTGGTGCAAGTTTGACGACGACGGCCACTTCGCGTACGGCAAGTCCGCTTCAGGCACGGCCAAGCGGCGCATCCCCCTTTCCAGTGTGCTGTCAGCTGAGCTCGCCCATGGTGAGGAGGAGTTACACGTTGCTGTTCCTGGCCGCACCTTCGTCTTCCGCTTGCACGCGCGCTCTGACACCTCGCTCGCTGACTGGTGCACCGCCATCAACAGCCGCATCAACGCCGCCACTTGACTGTGTGCTGTGCTGTGTGTGTGTGTGTGTGTGTGTGTGTGTGTGTGTGTGTGTGTGTGTGCTTGTGTTTGCTGGTTTGCTGGTTTGTCTCTTTGCTCCTTTGCTTCTGTCTTTCCTTTACGTGCTTGCTTGCCACTTGCCTTGCCTTGCTTGCCACTTGCCTTGCCTTGCTTGACGTTGCTTGTTTGTCGCTTTAGTAAACGCTTCACGCAATCCAACCGGCTGACAAGCAACGAGCAAACAACCTACCATACCATACTTCAACCAAACAGGTCCTCTTTCACTCCCACGTCCACGCTCACAACGCCCGCCTTGCGCAGCAGCTCCAGGGTGCGGCTGGTGGAAAGTAGTTCCAGGCGTCGCCCATGTGCGCGTCAGCGTGCGGTGGTATCGGCAACACGGTCGGTTGCTCAGCGTGCACAACGCCCAGCAGTCTTGTCGGAGGGCTGGGTCGTCAACCTGTACTCGTTGTCCGTCCACGACCGTCCGGAACAGCACGTCGTCGCTGCAGGCCCACGCCAATCGAGAACGCCGGCTTGAGCGCGTGGGTGCGCCCCACTCTCGTGCTGCACCTCCTCTATCGTCTCCTCCTCCGGGTTCAGGTTGCCCGTCCCCAGCGGCAGGTCCCACCATACAAAGGGCTGCAGCGACATCAGGAACGTGAAGAGGTCCGCGTTCCGGCAGCGTGCTTCCGCAGTCTTGTCTCCTCGTCGGTCTTGCTGCGCATCATGCCGGAAAACTCGGCGGCAATCCCCGCCAGCAGCTGCAGCTTCGTCTCGAACGGCGCCTGCAGCGTCTTCTCGTTGACGACCACGTGCGTGTCCTTGCCCACCTCGCGCGCGCGCGTGTACTCGGGCGAGAAGTTAGAGCACGTCTCCAACGTATGGGGCGCACCCGTCCGTCTGCGCAAACCACAATTGTGTTGACAGTGTTGTTGTGCTGGAACGTGCACTTGGGGGTCCCGGCGGCCTCCACACGTGCCTGCCGGGGTCGGCGAGCGACATGAACCCAACCGGCCGTCGGCGGCGGCGGCTCGATGGTGAGCCCACCATCCCCGTGCACACATCCCGGCAGATGTGCTTGCTCTTGATGGTTGTTGGTGCTGGCGGTGGGAGGAAACGACACCACGGTAGACGGGCAAATGGCTGGGCGTGCATGTGGAGACGCTGTGGCAACGGAGCATGTCAGCTGAACGCACTTGTCGACATAGATGAGCTGCAATGTCTGCAACAGCGAGGAGAGATGGTTGCCTGTTGGACAGGCGAGGAGACGGGTGAGTGATGTATGAGGAGGAGCACGACAAGTCCACACGGGGAACTCAGGTGAACCGCAAACAAGGGTGCAGACAAGGGCGCAAACGCACGCACACATGAACACATGAACACATGAACACATGAACGCACGGCCGATGGAGGTGTCTGTGTCGTTGGCGAGAGCGAGCCAGGTGCGGGTGACAGTGGTGGCAGCGATGGTGCCGATGTGTTTCAGCTCTTCATTGGATTGAGACAGCTGCCATACATGGGGTGCAATGCAGAAGGAATGGTGGTGGTGGTGGTGTGGTGGTTGAGTGAAAAGAGCCAGAGACACTCTTCATGGAAGGACATTATGTTGTCCAACACGCCTTCCCCAACGCACAAGTTCATGCACACACACACACACACACACACACACACACACACACACACACACACACACACACACACACACACACACACACACACACACACACACACACACACACACACACACACGCACCATCTTCCTATGAGGCCTGCGGCTGCGGTGCGCTGGCGGTCAAACATGAGCGTGGTCGGGACACGGAAGAGCTGCCGGGTGGGGATGAAGTGCAGGTTGCTCAGACAGTCCAGGATGCCGTTCAGCATGAGCGCAAATGGGTGCAGCAGCTTCAGGTGGCCTGTGGCCAGCGACAGTAGCAGCACAGGCATGGCTGCGTCCACCTCCTGTGCCTGCCCCGTGCCAATGTGCGCCACCAGCGCCCCAACCACCTCCTGCTGTGGAGGCGAGGTGGCGGCTGCCGCCGGTTCAGGATGTCCGCCATGTGCACAATCGACTTGAAGCACATCAAGAACGCGCGCGTGTGTCTGGCAAACATGGCAACAGCCATGGCGGTGGTGAGCCGGCCCGTGCTTGCAAGCTTAATGACGGTGGTCTCCGCGCCGCGGCGGTGGGCGTTCTGGTGCTTGGTAAAGCAGCAACAGCACAAGCAGATCGAGGGCGGTGATTGGCTGGGCCATGGTAGTCTTGAGTTGGCCGCAGCCACGCCTTTGCAATGCGCGCATCAAATGCCAGCCCGTTCTTGATGGCAGCCACCACAGACAAACACATCGTGATCATCGCCCCGTTGTTGGTGCTGGCCGTGTGCATGGTGGAGGAGTCAGCGATCATGTTCGCTGTCAGCGCAATCACATCCATTCCAT